GGCAACTTCTTGAACTTTCGCTTTGTGGCCTTTAGCAATTGCATCTGCCAAATCAAATTCAGCAACAGCACACAATTCAAGGGTTGTTACCAAGTTAATAAGTGGTATAAAGGCAAGTCCTATCGCCCAGACGCATTTTTTACCTGCCTTAATTATCTTCTAGCTCTTATTTTTGTTCAAATTCCTCTTGGAGGTGTCTCAATTCTTTTACAATTACGCGGGCTTGGTCTTGTCTCCCTTTAAGTGGCAACAAATGTCTCGGTGCATTTTCAATACCGTTGGACACAGCTCACTGTAGCCAATGGTTTCTTCAAGGGTGTCAGGAATCAGCACACGAAATTCTTTGTACTCCAGGACTTCATAATACTCAAAATTACTCGCTGTTACATGCAAAGCAATTCGGTTGCAAGCGGCAGGATACTTTTTAGGTATATCACTTTTGAACAAGTGTTGTTCAAGTTTGCACGCTTCTTGTTTAAACTTACACGTTCCGGCCACATTTTACCATCGCCAATTCACTCTCAGGAAATCTGTTGTGTCGACGAACATGACTGTACGTCTCACCAGCACAATCAACTGCCAGACAAGATCACTAAAGATTTCAAGACAGGTGCCACAAGCTCGTTTAGCCGGCTTCCTATTTTTGCTGAGATCAAAATTGTTTCAAAAATAGTAAACTATCGCCCGCTGGGATATTAACTTCGCGACTCATGCCCAGTGTTAGCCGAGAGAAAAATCTCAAATCAAACGTCTTCCTCCTTAATTTGTCTAAGTTATATAAAACGATTGAAGATTCTATTAATAGTTGTGTGTTAAGGTCGTGTTTTCTTCAATTCATAAAATAGATCTTTTTGAAATGAAGATCTAGTTCAAAATTTATCTCAAGGAAAGGTAAAAATTGTGATGAGATAGTACCTGGCTCGACTAGCACGTGCTAAAAATTGCACGTCAGTGTAACGGGGTTAGATACATAAATTTGAAATTAAATTTGCTCAGCTGAAAAACGCTCGAAAATTTGACCTTTTGTAAAATTTGCAAAGAAAATATACTTATGTGGGTACTTGTATGTTGACATCCTAAGTAATGGTTTCTGATTTTCAGCCGCCAATTTGAAAAAAGGTCATCATCCGTTAGAAAAATTATCCTGCTCCAATACCCCTCGCACTTGTTGGATAAGAGTCTGGGCCAATTCATTTGCTGAGTAATGCAAGTTTCTCTGGTGGCATCATGATCATTCTCACTTTAGAACTGAAAATTTATGAAATATGACGGGATGTATATTATTCTCTGCATGAATTAACTTAATCTCATCTCACGAGTTTATCACTACTTTAGTTTTAAGAAACGGGCGCTTCATCGATGGATTTCGAGTGATTTAGATCGGAACGCGCGAGCAGGAAGTTTCTCCTTGCAGTCTGCTCTCTTGTGCGCGTGTTGCTCGCATTTTCCGAGAGCCCGACGGGAAGGTTTTCAATGAATTTCTTGGGAGGACTCGACCGGGATATAATAAAATTTTGTACATTGAATTTCAGAGCTCATTCTTTTCTATTGAAATAATTAACAACTTGAAGATGTTATGTTCACAATACGGTAAACATATTGACAAGTTTTTACCCGTACACAGTTCAACTTATTTAATCCTTTCAACCAAAAAGGGGCTCAAAGTTAATTTACCTGGAAAAAATGTAACTGAGTCAACGTTAATGGAGTTGAATTCGTCTAGTCCTTGCAAAACGATGAGGCCAGTGTTGCTTTTTATTTCGCATTTCGGAATACCAATTCTACTGCTAACAAACGTATCAGGCAAAGTGGTAGCCAAATTCTCTCGGCTATTGACAAGAAAATTTTTTTCAGTTTAAAGGGAGAATTGCGCATCAAATCTTGAAAGTTTAAGGGATACATAACACTAACTTTCTGCCTCAAACACGACCTTTGGTATGCACCTTTTAACCCAACTATTAAGTTATAATTAACTTATTTGAACCTTTTTAATAACAGATCTTTTTCCACTGTGGTTGACCCACTGACGCTCGTTGGCAAGGTCTCTATCGCTCGATTCTAACTTGAATTCCCCCGGGGTTAAGAAAATTCTGATGCATTCTGTGGAACATCTGTGAAGTCTTTATTAAAACCTAATCAATTACAAACCTTTGCACAATCACTCACTTTTGATTACAGTTGACACCGCATGATAATGTGTGTCCTGAACTTGTTTGATTATAAGATTAAAATAATAACGCTCCTACAAAAAGTTATGAATCATGATTTAATATAATTCTAAACCTGTCAGTTTTAAAAAACATAGCAGAAATAAAACTTCAATCGCGGAGTTCTATCATGAGTTGAATTCTTCTAGCAGATTGTTACAACTCCGTAGAACTCCTCTTCCAGTCACTAATGGGGACTTTTACAAAACGACAGCAGCGAGAACGAGAACAAGGAGAAACAAAACTTGTAACGAGCAGAACAACTCCTCTGCACATGCGTTCTAAAACTTTGTAGATTTCCTCCCCGTTCTAAGAAACGATGTGAAACTACACAATTTTTTTAAAGTTATTTGCAGTCTGAGCCGCAAAGCCAAATCAACACGTTTTCAGCCCGAACTTAACACTTCATTCACATGTCATCCACGAGGAGGTCTAACGCCGGCAGAGACGGTTAACACATCGAGGTAATTGCAAAATGCTGAAGATAGACATCTGTTTTTAATCAACTCTTTCATAAGCCTCGCTGCCGTGATACCTCAACTCCTCCACAATTCCTTACAGGACTGTGCATTAATAAGCTCCCTACTGATTTATTTCCATGAAAAGTAATGACTGAGATATTTAATTCAAAGCTCTGCATTCTGGCTCTACTAAGTCTCTACGTCAGTTAGAGCTCTTTTTAATGGGTGGTCAGACGAAACCCAAAAGAAAAATACTAATAACGAAATCCTTCGGAAGGCACTCTAACACTACCAAATACCTCATCGGATCGGGTGAAAGTCTTGCTCACACTGTATGAACAATTAACAAAGGTAACAAAATCAAATCGTAGACGAAGCAATTCCGATAACTTCGTAGTCATTGCCACCCCTAATGCCGGAATGAATCACGTTAAAACTTGGTTTTGCTGCTGCATTTAACTACACTTACTCTAATATATATGTAAAAAAGACAAAAATCATACTGTTTCCATTAAGATGTTCCTAAGAGTCACACTCGATCTTGTTCTTTCCACTTTTCACTTGCTCTCATCTGGGGCTGTGATGGCTAACAGAAGCTTGCTCGCTATCTTTCGAATTGAACATTTTTCTTGAATGGTTTTCTTCTGCTTTTCCAGCCACCTGTCGATGTAGTTCTGGTCTGTTCCCTCGGTTGGAATGGCTAGGAAATCAGTTCTGACCTCTGGTATAACCGCGTAGAGGCCTTGGCAAAGGCACTTCATATCGCTTGCTTGTGCCTTCATAACTTTGTAGTACAGTTTCTTGCTGTCGCTCTTGCTTTTCTCAGCTTTTCCTTCAAACTTTTTTAACTCCTGTTCCATGACGGAGAAGAAACCAGCTGCTTTGGAGATACCACTTATAAAGCCCTTGAAGGCAGGGATGAGGGTGTCGCTGACTGTGATTGCGGCAGCTTCTTGAACTTTTGCCTCGCAGCCTTTAGAAACTGCACTAGCCACATCTGATTCAGCAGCAGAAAACAACACAGGGCTCGCGATAACGTTTACAAACGGTACAAAGGCAAGTCCAATCGCCCAGGAGCGTTTTGTATCTGCCTTGTCTTCTAGCTCTTTCTTCTTCCTTTCAAATTCCTCTTGAAGGTGTTTCAATTCTTTTACAATTACGCGAGCCTGGTCTTCTCTCTCTTTAAGTGGTACCAAGATGTCTTCGTGCATCTTCAGTAGCGCTTGGCACATCTCCCTGTAGCCAATGGTCTCTTCGAGGATGTCAGACAGCATCTCACGCCATTCTTCGTACTCCAGGGCTTCATAGTACTCAAAGTACTCGCTGATGGATGAGACCAGTTTGGTCGAAAGCGGCAGGACACCTTTAAGGTACACCATTGCGTCGTTTCTGGTTTTGTCTCGGAGTTCCCTAAACTTTCTAGCGCCTTTGGAATTGGTGTCAAGCGCCTGATCTGAGTAAAGGGATCTCATGCAAAGAGAAAAAATTCGCATGTCGACTGGCATGCTCTGTAATTGTTCTCGAAGGTCTTTAAAGGAGTTCTCTGCTTGCTTTTCGGTGTCATCCATCGTTCTGCTAAAAGAAGCAATGGATAATCAAAAGGTTTTCTTATTTATTAACCCATGGATTGTTCCTATCATCGCTGTGTTTGTTCATTTTAACAAAAGATCAATTGCTTTAAACAATCATAGAATAAAGCTGTAAAGATGATAGAAAAAGGGGCAGTATGTCTCTAGGCCGCGGTTTTCGTCACAGGGGATTGAGATTAGTTGTTCCATAACAGATGAAACGAAAGCTGCTGTTTTGTTCATCAGTTATTGATGCATATGGCATTATTTTAAGATGGCTAAGGAAACATAGGAAAGATTGCAAAAAAACTTACTTTCATGAAAAAAAGACGAGTTGTTGGAGTTTGCATGTATTGGTTTCAGATGTCTGCTACACTTATGTAATCGTCATGTGCCTAGCCTCCTGTAAGCTCAAGTTAAAAGGGCTCTGGAAAACGCATCCTTTTTTCTTCGCTAAATTTCATTCTCAGCCGCATAACATAATATCCTTCAAGCTACTATCAAAATATAAAGACTCTCTTCCCTCCCTTACAGAGATCAGTTCAACAAAGGAAAAGTGACCATTAGTTTCTCAAAATATTTTAGTTTTGATCACAGGTTTTCTCAGCACGAAAAGGTAAGATACCCCGAGGAAAATCTCATCCGGGCAGGTTAATTACTTGACAACCGATTCAATTAGCAGTGCTATTAAAGTTAACCTTCGTTTTGCCATGTTTTTTTTAAAAAAAATCTCGAGTTTGATCACAGCTTTTCTTTCCCGATGCGTTTTATGGAATTGTTTATCGAAATTCTGCTGTAGACACGCCAATAAAATAAAGGAAGCAATCGGCCCTTCACAAATCGTAGACTTCCAACCGACTTGAATTTAAGAATTTTTCACACCAATCTAAATAACGGCAAGTATTCTAGAATAAAGCGAAAAAAGACAGCATGTTACCTTTAACTATGGTAGTGGGTCTGTAGGATTCGTTTTCTCGGCACGTTTTTTCAAAAGTTGCTTTATGTTTCTAATCTTAGAGTTCTTTGATTTGGAGGCTGACTCAACGCTTCAGCTTTAATCATTGGTAGAAGAAAAGACTGAGCAAGGAACAAGTAAGTAAGGTCTTACTTAACTGTAATTAGTCCCCATAATCGTGGTTCAAACCCTCTTGCATTGCTTCCAATTGCAAAAACTACTTATAAGAACTTTACATGAGTGGGAATCCATAGATTATCGGCTAACGTGTGTAACAGAACGACGTTCGATTCCAGTTTTACGTAAAATATGCTAACAGGTGATGATGATGCCACCTACAATCCCGCATGAATGAATCAGAATGACTGGTTTCGTTTTCTAGAATAAACCAAGCTCACTTGTGACGGAAACAGAAGCCAAAGTGCACATAGAAAATGCCAGAAAAATAACGTGGAAGAATATCATAAGGTTGGACAAATTTCGTAAAACTGTTCGAAAGAATTTTC